GCACACATACACTACGGGCCCCGGCGCGTGTCATAGGCTACTTTTCGTCATCGATCGATATCGATTTTATCGATTTTTATCGATTTTTTTGCTGAGTTCACCTACGGGGCTGGGAGTTGGCACAGGGGGGTAATCGAGCATGGGGATTCCGAATACAATATTGGTTTTCAGGATTATCGATTACTTTTATCGATTTTATCGATTTTTTTGCAAAGTTTGAGCTACGGGGCTGGGAGTTGGCACAGGGGGGTAATCGAGCATGGGGATTCCGAATACAAAATTGGTTTTCAGGATTATCGATTACTTTTATCGATTTTATCGATTTTTTTGCAAAGTTTGAGCTACGGGGCTGGGAGTTCGCATAGGGGGGTAATCGAGCATGGGGATTCCGAATACAATATTGGTTTTCGGGATTATCGATTACTTTTATCGATTTTATCGATTTTTTGCAAAGTTTGAGCTAGGGGGCTGGGAGTTGGCACAGGGGGGTAATTGAGCATGCTGATCACCCCCAAGGGGGGTGATCAGCATGCTATTACACCCCTGCGCCAAATTCCACCCCCTGGCTCGAATTTTCAAAAAATCGAAAAAATCGATAAAAGTAATGGATGATCTTGAAAACTAATATTGTATTCGTAATCTGCATGCTCGATTACCCCCCTGTGCAAACTCCCAGCCCCGCAGGTCAAACTTTACAAAAAAATCGATAAAATCGATAAAAGTAATGGACGATCCTGAAAACTAATATTGTGTTCGTAATCAGCATGCTCGATTACCCCCTGTGCAAAATCCCAGCCTCGCATGTCAAAATTTACAAAAAATCGATAAAATCAATGGAAGTAATCGATAATTCTGGAAACTAATATTGTATTCGGAATCCCCATGCTCACTTCCCCCCTGTGCCAACTCCTAGCCCTGTAGGTGAATTCTGCAAAAAAATCGATAAAAATCGGTAAAATCGACATCGATCGGTAACGAAAAGTGGGCTGTGACACCCGCCGGGGCCCGAAGTGTATGTGTGCCAAGTTTGGTCCGGATACGGCGGAGCCGGGTAAGCCAGCTAGTAATACATATATCGCTTTGGATCATTACTTGGTGTTTTTGTCTTTATGAGAGGATTGTAGGTAGCCATCAAAATGCAGATTTTGAATTTTCATGTGAGCTAGTTGAATTGAAGCGTAGATGTGCCGCCTTGAAGTCAGCGTCTCGGCAAAATTCGGAGTTCTCAATTTTTTAGTTTACTTAGGCCTCTCACTCGTGCGTTGCCGAAAATGCAGCTCGAAAAATACCATAAACAGAATTTTCGATACCTTTAGTTTTGAAAACATGCAGCAGAGTCCGTCAAGGTCTGAGGCGCGCGTTTGTAGTGAAAGCCGATCATCATAATTGTGTGTGGTATACGCCCATTTGCACGTAGTCTAAAATCGGTATGGAGTTGAGGAACGCTTCTGGAGCAAAACTCGAGCCTTAACAAGCTTCGCTTCAAGATTCACTCGCTTTTTGAGCAAAACTCAAGCCTTAACAAGCTTCGCTATCTGCTTTGGGGGAGGAAGGGGTGGGGGAGAGGTTGTATCAGAGGTGCGATGGGTGGAGCCGAGCCCCTTGAAAGTGAAGGTGGCCCCAGCTACCACTGGCCGGCAAAAGTGAAGGTGGTAGTGTGGGCACTCACCTCTCAAGAACTTCGACCGGGAAGTGAAGGGGCTTTGAAGGTCTAAATCGGCGGGGAGGGGGCACAGCTCGACTCACTTCCGCCAAAAAAATTCTTTCTTAAAAGTTTCATAGTTTCATTTTAGAGTATGCAAGATTCATGTGATTGTTTTTGATTAAGGTACTTTCGGCATAAATATTTGAAATAAACGTGTTAATCAAATGGTATATACGCCAGTAAAACTCAGCTGGATTTTACGTATTTTATTAAGTAACTTTTGTTACAACGTACTGCGAATAAAGTACGATCCAGGCAGCAACCGCCGACAACCAGAATTTTGAATGAAAATGAAAAATCGCGCAATTTCCACTGTCAAAAATCTGGCAACTGGCTTCATAGGTTTTGAAGGGTAAATGTAGTTCCACCAAGTAGTGAAGGAATCTCGTCGATTTTAGCAGTGGCCGCCGAGAAAAAAATTTAAAAAATTAAGCGATGTTAGGTTGCTTAATGACAGCTGACGTTTAAACTACTACAAATGGAATTTAAAGACGTGCAATGTTGCGACTTTTTGGGTTTTATAAAGTAAGGTCTGTTGTACTAGAATATATCTTAGGCCCGTATGCACGTACATCCCCGCGGGGAGGGGAGGGGATCTGAGAGGGAAAGCGTCATATCTCGCTAGTCTATGTATCTTTCTTCTTCTTTCTCTGTCTTGGTTTTGGAGGTTTTCATACACTGATACTTGCGCATAACGGATGCCAGGTTACTGCCATACAAGATTAGATATTCACTATTTCGTCTGATCCCCTGGGGACCCCCAGGGGATCACTTGACATTTTCAAAGTCATTTATCTTTCTGAAAACTCGATGAAAATGTTCTAAAATTGTACTGTGGATATACTACAGCACTGCTAAACATATTTGTGGTAGAAATGAGTGAAATCTCAAGATATCAAAATCTTCGATGAACCGCTGCTTGCGAGCCAAGGATTATCGAAAAAATCAAAATCTCCAGATTCAATTTCTTCTGTCGAAAACATGCTCAGCAGTATTGTAATCAGTACAACCAGCGTTTTCATTCATTTTTCAGGGAGATAAACGACTTTGAAAATGTGAGATGATTCCTTGGGGATCCCCAGGGGATCGGAAGAAATAGTGAATATTTAATCTTGTATAGCAGTAGCAGTAACCTGGCATCTATTATGCGCAAGTATAAGGGTATGAGAACCCTCATAAGCACAATAAAGAAGAAAGAAGAAAGATATCTAGAGCAGTGAGATATGGCGCTTCCTCTCTCAGATCCCCTCCCCTCTTCGCGGGGATGTACATGCATACGGGCCTTAGTCGTACAAATATATTTTAGTCGTACCGATCCATTGAAAGGGTGCCGAGATCGAGGCTCTTGAAAACAGGTAAAAGACCGCTTTTCAAGATTTGACAGCTCAACCCATCTTTAGAATTATGAATCATGTTGCGACTTCATAGGTTAGATTCTTTTAATCAAGAGCTTTCAGATGATATATAATATGCGGGGGTTTAGGCCCTCCTATGACTGGGAGACGGTCAAAAGGCGCGATTTTTCTGGCTGTCACCAACTTAAAACTCCAGTTCAGTGCTATGCGAGTCTTCAAAAATTACCGGATAAAGTGCATTAGCATACTATCCGTCTGGGGTCACCATCTGCTGAGTTTCATGGTTTTTGCTATAAATCGGACTGAAATATATATGAATTTGTTCTGAATTGCATTTTCATGAGTTTTTGACCTTCAAAACTGCTCTTTTGAATTTTTTCTGGAGCATCAAGATTGAACAACTCATGCAACTATCTAATATATCTTTGTCCAAATTTCATATAATTTTAGAAAGTTGCAAAACACATATTATTTGCTATATGGTGTCCAACTGGCAATAAAAATCGCGCCTCTTGACATACACCCCCTATGACTTAGGCCCGTGGGGAAACTTTTCATCATTATTTCCCCCCTGGCGCCCTCCATCCAGTACATTGATATGGTCGAGGTGGAGACTTTGGGATGAAAAGCCTCCACCCCGGGTTAGAGCCGCAAAAATCACTGAACAACCTACATGTTACATATATATTCGTACGACTAAGATATATTCTCGTAGAACAGACCTTGCTTCACGAAACCCATGAAGTGCAACATTGCACATCTTCACATTCCAAATTTGTAGTAATTTGAACGTCAGCTGTCATTAAGCAACCTAACATCGCTTAATTTTTTGAAATTCTCGTTCTCGGCGGCCGCTGCTAAAATCGACGTGATTCCTTCACTATCTGGTAGAACTACACTTACCTTCAAAACTTATGAAGTCGCAGTTGCTGACAACATCAACAACTAGAATTATAACAGTGGAAATCTGGCTTGATTTTTCGGTAATTTATCATTCAATATTCTGGTTGTCGGCGGTTACTGCCTGGATCGACCTTCTTTCTTCGCAGTACGTTATGACAAAATTTGCTTGATAATACATAAAGTCTAGCTGATTTTTTACTAACAAATACACCATTAGAACACGGTTATTCCAAATATTGTCGCTGCATTCATCGTATTTATGGCCCTAAAGAGAGCCGTTGTGTCACAGTTGTTAACCCCAAAGAGCACCACTGTGTCAGAGCTTTCAATTAACCGAAGTCACCATGAAGCTTTGCTCTCCAAAATTGAAGAGAGTGCTGAGGCGTAGATGCGTCCATGTCGGTGATGGCCTTCAGGTGCTCGCAGTAGGCGACGGCGAGTTCCTAAAAGTGAACTAGATAGAAATATGCTCTCAATACTTTCTTTTGAGTTCTGCTTATTTTTCTTTTTTTTTAGCTTCAGCAAAATTCCAAAACCCAAATGTGAAGGTGGTCGCCCTGTGTCAGCTCAAAAGCGAAGGTAGGCGGAGTCTCGACTCCGACTATCGTATCTCTGGGATGTATGCTTGCGCTGTAAAGTCTTAGTATTCTACGTTTTGACTTGACGTTAACCCTTCACCGAAACGCTACATGTATGACTGCGTTCATACTGATCCCGAAGTCTGGGAATACTTCCAGCACAGCGCCTAATTTGAACACTGTGCTGGAACTGTTCCCGAACTTCGGGATCAGTATGAACGCAGCCTATATGATGCTAATTGCGCCTTAAATAGAAGCATGCGGAGTTTTAGAAATGATTACCGTTTAAGATATGCCCAAGGCTTCGCAATGCGCGTGCCAGCTGAGCACGAGTAGAATCGTTGAATGCATGCGGTTTTCATTGTTCTCAATCAATCCACATCTGCCTGGTTCCAAACCGGTTGTGGTGCTTGTTGCAGTAAGTGCAGCGATCTAGAAAGCCATCATAATTTTTTAAAGGTTTTCTGTCGCAATCTCGTTCGAGTAGGAAGCGTTTTGGATGGCGGTAAATGGGTTTGTAATCCAACAGCGATGTTGAGGAAGAACTGCAGGTAATGTTCTCTATCTAAAAGGAACTCAATTGTGTCTTGAAGTGATATAAAAACAATTTCGGTAGTTTTAGTTGCTCCTACAAATGTAGCAATATTTCCTAATGTTTGTTGTGCCTAAAAAAACTAGTTCGATGAGAATCAGAATGTACACTCTATCTGAGTGGAAGTATTATCTAATGAAGAATAGAAGCTATCAAGATAGGTATTTCAACTATCACATTGCGCGAAGTGTGGGGAGTAATGTTAGCCGCAAGAAATCAAACCAAAAGCAGCTTTTGGTTAAGCAGCAAAAACTTGTTTTCAATCGGTTAACTATTCATACGCACATAACACCAGCGTAAAAACGAAACTCAGAAGTTTAATAAAGTTACTTTTATAAAGCTGGTCACGTCCAATCTAATATTTGAATTTATCAGTTAGTCGTGTTTGAAACCGCGGTTTGTAGGTAATATCAAGACAAGAATATTATTGCAATGATCTCACTATTTGGATGAAGCGCATTTCCGATATTTGTTTGAATAAGCAGAGCGCAGTAATCTCTTCCACACCTAGTGAGCCTCCCTTGTTGTTTCTGAAGGAGTAACATCAGTTGACTCCATTCTTGATGATAGTCTTCAAACGTGGTACACCAAACTTTCGTAGACCGTTCTCTTACCCTCTGCAGCAATATTGCGTTGGCGGTAGCTATTTTGACAGTCGTTCGATGTGCTCCACGGTCGGTTCTTACCAGCCTTAAGCAGAGTCAGAAGCCCATTTTTCATAACTTTTTTGGCCAATCTAATTCGGACTTAAAAATTCCTGTAACATCAAACTCAATATTCACATTTTCTTTTATAGTATATACTCATTGGGGCTGCATGATGAAATCTCTTTCGACCATGACATACAGGAAATCAACAATTTTAGCTGTCGAATACATGGATATGACATGGTATCCTAAAATTTTAAAAATACACATACGTGCACTCGCAAGCCGGTATTTTAGGTAAAGCAATCGCCTGTTACAGTGAAACAGTATTATGCTATAAATGGTAAAGTTGAAGCTCTTAAGATAGGTCCAAAGACAGATGCATCAAAAAATGTGTACTTTATCGGTAAGTAAAAGCTTCCCTTCATCATGGATCTTTCATATAATTTGATGCAATTCTATAGGGATATTGCAGGCTTAACTTCGTAAAACATCTTAAGGTATTTTAGGTGATCTGGTTTCACGTAACAACGATAAAAACGTGGAATTTCTTAAAATCGACATCGAAGGTGCCGAGCACAATTCTCTCATTCCTTTTCTAGAGATATACAAAGTTTGTCAAGTGAGGTTTTTTTTAGATAAAAAGCGAGACACACAGTAAACATTTACTCTAGCAAATCACTTTTTATGCGGCTAATAGCTTTTTGGCGTTACTGTTACTTAAACAAATTGCAAATGACTTTGAAAAGGTAAAGCGTAGAATTTCAGGATTTGAAAGGGAAACAATTCTCAAAATTTGTAGGGTAGTGCTCAAACGCGAATTGATGTGAGTTGTTTCAGAACCTGTCAGATTTGCAGATTTCCTTATTTGGAATGTTATAATTTTTTCATCATTTTCACTTTTGAGCGAAATAACTATTGCCGGATTATACGAGATTATTATGCGTAAATACAATACGTCATGCGAAAAAAGCCATTCAAGAGAGAAGAGATTTGAAGAATTCTGCAAGGCATACCCTCGATACATAGAGCCACGTACTCTAGTAACCTTCACTTTGAAGGCTATGAGGGGAGACAACCTTCACTTGGAAAAAAATAGAAGTCATTCGGGGCTTCGCCCTGGATGTTATTGCCCTGACTATATCGGAACGTATGTTAACGAAGTAAATATAGGGAACAACATCTTTAGCTTATTTCAGCGAAACCGAGAATTGGCGTTTTCATAGCCTTTTTTACGTTAAAAAGAAGGTTTCTGTGGAATTTTCGCCAAAATTCAGGAAAAAATTCCTCAGTTAACCTCTCATTTGACCAAAATAGAGTTTCAGAAGTTTAGAAAAGCTATTAGAGTTAAATAGAAACGAGAAACTGCGCTTAAATCTTGCGCAGAGAGTCGCGCACGAAAACGCGGGTTCATCTCGTTAATGAGGGATTTTCAAAGCTTGGGACGTTGTCAGTTCTCCTCACCGTGTCATGGCGATCAGAATGATATATAATGTTGCAGGGTTTCGTTGAGACCCCGCGGAGATCTACGACCAGAGCCAAATGCCCCGTCGGCTCTGGTCTGTCTCCGCTGCTCGTCTGCGTCTCGGCAGGCTGCGTGCTACCTCGCTACCCCAAACGCGGGGCGCGGGGCATTTGGCTCTGGTACCCTTTTCTTCGCTGTTTCGAATCCAATTTTAGCAAGCTATATATCAAATTAAAGCTCTTGATCTCTATTTTCACGCTGGCAACGTCCCAGAACCACATTTTTTGATTTGATTGAGAAATTCGTCAAAAACCTTGTTTTCGAAAATCTCTTGTTTTCCTTCTAGTTTAACTCTTTTCACGCGGTTTTTTCGAGCGTTCTATAGATCTTGCTTCTGTTCATAATGCAGACAACCACCCAGCCCTTACCTCTCCGATTATGGTGGAATTTTTTGCGAAAAACTGTAAAAAGTGCGTTTTTCTTTACCGTGTTCTGTTTCAGTGCCTTCGCATCCATTTTTTTCCAGCTTGGGCGATTGTTGCTCAGAACAATAAGCGCAACAATCCAGACAACGTCCCAGGAAACAGGAACGTCAATGCGGGGGTAAAAATTTAAAGGACGCATCAAAAATCAAAACCCCGTGTTGCGCAATTGCTGGTCCTGGAGCGAAAACTTGCACTTTGAAAAACCGCCAACTGAAAGACTTCAAACCTTATTGCAGCGTTTTTATCCAGTTTTTAGCAGTTTCTTTTGCTTTTTTATCTGTTTTACGTCAATTTCTCTTCTCTGATCTTCTTTGAACAACCTTCACTATTCATGACGTCAGATGTTCAAACAACCTTCACTTTTGGCGTCCTGTCTCTGGACTATCGAAGGTATGCTGCAAGGTTTTCTCTAAAAATCTTTATTTTAACAAAGTAATGCTCCCTAGTAAAAATAGGTAGACATATTTGGGTGCTAACATTAAATATCCTATAGCTCAGAGATCGATTAACTAGAAATTCAAGTTCTCTCTGCTGCCTAGAACTTTTCACAAGCAAATCAAAAAAAGCCATTATTCAAGCCCTCCTTCAAGCGCGCAATTAAATCAGTTCTTCGATACTTGAATTTTTTGTAGTTGTCACGAAGAAGGGAAGCTGGTTGTCTGATAGTTTCTTTTTGCCCTTGCTTTATTAAGACTTGCAGATTTTGTCGCTTGTTGAATAATGTTTTTATCTTCGCACGTGCCCCCGCTTATACAGGGTGCTCTTCGCGTTAGATGTCTTCACACTTTTCTGAGATAAGGTCTTCTTCTTTTCAGTTTCTCGCAAGTTGGCCTTGATTCTGTCCAGCTACCTCATCTTGTGCCTACTCCTAGGTCTTTTGCGTGATGCTTCCATTCTTGTGATGTCTCTTGCTTCCCTTCTGCTCGCTTGCCCATGCTATCGAATTAATCACTTTTCCTGCATTCTTTGGGCGATTGAAGCTACTTTCATCTGAGCTCGCACGCGTCACTACAGATTCGCTTCCATATAGGCTCCCGGTCGGATGACCGTTCGGAACAAATGGGATTTGATCTATACTGGCATTCGACTGTCGCCCATGACTCCCGTTAGCACTCCCAATTCATTAACGCGCTGTTTACTTCACCTGCAAACTAACTCCTCTTGTAGGTCACCTTCCGCTGACGTGCAACTGCCTAAATACTGGGAAATACTGCGTGATGCTTCCTCTCAGACAAATGACCGGAACTTTCGCAGAGCACTTGCAAAAGTTCCGCCGGGTCATTTGCGGAAGTTCCGTAAACGTGCTGCGGAAGTTCCGAAGAATGCCAAGCACAACAGCAAAACAGAACACCGAAACGAGATTTGAACCTCACTCTATTGAGTGTGAGACCCACCTTCTATCCTCTACGCTATGGCTGACATGTTCGATAATGCACTCTAGTTGTTGGCGAGGCAACATCACGAGACAATATATTTATCCTGCAGAACTTCTGGCAGGCCAAAGTGCTGCGAAACCTCTGGCATTTTTCGGAATTTCCGCAGGTGAAGGATTTTCTGCGGAAGTTCCGGTTTTCAACCAGTTTGGCATGAAATCACGTTTTCTTCTTTGCAATAGTGAACAAAATCCTGCAGAATTTCTGCAAATTTGGCTTGTCCTGCGGAAGTTTCGGTGATTTGTCTGAGCTGTTTTCTTGTTTTCTTCGACTTCACCATCAATGCATATAATTGCTGGGGTCTGTTTTACCTTTTCATGTATTGCGTTTTCTTGGTGTTGAGCTTCAGTTCATGCGACTCTAACCGCTTTTCCATCTTTGCACTTCATGTTCCAATTCCTTTCTGCTACTTGCTATTAAGGCCACATCATCGAACCATCCAGGGTGTTTGCGGCAGCTGAGAATTTCTGTCACTGCGTTCATTACTGTGATGAAAAGCAGAAAAGGCAGTACCGAACCTCAGTGCACCCCAGTCTTGATCCGAATTCTTTGGTTTGTCCTGCAGCTGTTTGTATATGATTTGAAGCGTGGTGGTAGATCATCTTAATTTACTGGACGCACTTCTCTGACATCATGTGTTTAGTGCCCACCGTATAACTTCATAGGGCACCTTATCGAAGGTTTTCAGAGGTGCATTGACCGCATTCATCAGCTAACCCAATGGGTTCTGCAACCCATTTGTTTTGCGAATCCAGTGGGTTCCGTGGGTTCACGAATCCACTGGGTAAGATTGGTATCCACAAGTGCTTCGCTGCGTTCGCTATCCATGTGCCTCTCTAATCTGTGTACTATCTCCTCATCTCTCCAAACACACGGATCGCGTTAAGCTAGAAGCGTCAGCACGCTTGACACTCCTTCGGAAACTCAACAGTCAGTGAGACCATCACATGTTTGAAAAATCGACATCAAGTAAGGTCTTTTGTGCAAAACTTGCATTTCCTTGTTCTATCCTTTATTTGAGGATTCTCTCGCATATGGTAGTCTTACTTGGCTATGCCACACATGACTGTCACTTATTATATGTGTGGAAAGAAACGCATCAATAAGACTCTACTCAATTTGGACAGTCTTTGGACAGGCAACTTAAAGAAATGTTTCTTTTCCGAGTTTTCTTTGCCTCTCAAGGAAGATATTAGCCACATTTTTTGAGGCTCACACGACATAGCTGACATTCACGAATCTGTATTGTTGATTAATATTGTGGTGCAAGGATTAGCTAATTGTAGGCTTTATCTTATGTATGCTTTTGATATATATGGCAAGTAAGTCTACCAAGTAAATCTTTTTTACAAACTCCTACTTTTGGATGGAATTTTCATCATCAGTGATAAGATGCATATTCGCACAAAGCGCTGAACTCCTTGTTGGCTTAATTTGTGTCGTATTCATTCTTAACTGTATTGTTCCCCCACAATGGTCGGCCGCCTCAACATGGCGTGGGGTGACACTGGGTGTCGAACTGCGATGCACAGCCGAGTGCATACTCTGGTAGGACCTCCCAAACTGTGAAAGACTTCGACGTTTTCGGTCTTGGCCGGATGCTTAACTAAGAGCCGGCCAGGCCAGATCCCCGCCGTCTGACTTTCTCTGGTCGTTAGGCGGTCCTTCCCGCTCCACACCCGGGTCAGCGATCGCTCCGTAAAAATCAAGAGTTGGCCTAGCAAGGCTCCTGTAAGGGAAAAATTTTCATACTCGTTCAGCAAAGAGAAGAGAAAAAAATCCTGCACATCGGATCCCGCCTACGGCGCCGGGTGGTAGCAAGAACGATGTCAGGGTACTCAAGACGCCTTTCGAATTGGACAAAAACGACACGTCTGCCCGGACGACACGCTATGGAGACTGCCTCATGCTCTGCACCTACAACGCCAGGACAGTCTCCACAAACGCCGATTTCCGCCCTTCTCAACGCTGCGATGCACATCAAGTAGCACATCAATGCTGTGCAGGAAACGAAGTCCAGGAAGAACGACTACAACAGGTGAGTGATGGGACCCTCATCATTCGTGGAGAAACAGTTACATCACGAGAAGATAGAGCCGTTAGTTTGTCGTCCACCCATCTCGTCCATCTTATCAATTCGCATGATATCCTATTACCTCGGCTAGCCGTCCTGCGACTCAGAATTAGATGCTTTCTATGAAGACGTGGAGCAGGTCGTCCACAATGAGAAGTCCTTTTA